TATGCCTCCACTTTTCTATTTTAGAGAGATTTAGCGCGGTAAATTGAAGTATTACTTTTTTTTTTTTTTGATGGAAATTTGTCCCGATATGGACTGCTAGTAGATTTGAGCGGTTTGATTTGGAAAGTGTGTGAACGCGCGGGGCGAAGTCTTTATGAAATGGAGCGCGAGAAAACAGTCGTTAAACACACACAATAAACACACGCGCGCGCGCGCGCGCGCGAAATGATTGTAGGGCCGCGTGCCCAAAATTTCCGAAGTTCGAGCGTTACAGAGATACGTGTTAGAGCTATTGGGTTATTTCGCGGTAAAGCATGGCGACGCGAGACACTTGCCAAACGAGGCTATCGGCGTGGTAACGTAACCGACACTTGCATAAACAACCTGCCTGCTGCGGTGCGATCGATTTCTCAAAGGCTTATCGACACGTAGAATAAATGGGGTTTTCGTGTAATTCCCTCTACGACCGAAGTCATTCCCAAATTGTATTACCGCTTCTGGAATTGCGAGAGGCTTTGACATAACACGTCCGTCGACGTGTGAAAGGTTGCGGAGCTCTGTAAAATGTGCGCATAATTACTAGCAATTTACTCGCTTTTCGTCGCTAAGTGAGAGAGACTCTCAATTCACGCCGCGTTGTGTATGCGTCGCAAATGCGGGAATATTAAACAAGCAAAGTGCGCGCACATATATGAGATAGAAAAATGTTTTTACAAAAGTAGCTGTCTTGTTCTTTTTTTTTTTTTTTTTTTTCTATAAACTACACTGGCTTTAATTACTTTGGTGATAAAAACAAAAACACGTTATGCATGTTTAATCGCATCGCGAATATGAATGAGTGTTTGCATTTTTTAACGATCTAATCTCAAACTCTATCGAGCGCGCGCGCGCGCGCGCGAATACGCGCATTATTGTATTATATTTTTTTCTCAAAGCTTGTTTGTGCGCAAAAATTCACGCGATTGTTTCAACCTTAAGGTGTCTTTCGCCGTCGTGCGCGAATATACTCCCGGTATAATCGACTTTGCCGATCAACAAAGCTCATTGGGTGGCTCTCGTCGACTGAATACGTGTCAATCGATCTATGCCAGTCGCGGGGCAAAATGCCGATCAGCATGTATACGGCTTTGCCGGGTATATAACCGATGCGCGGCAAAAGAAGCCGCGCCGGATCGTATTAGGAGCACAAACATCGATCAATCCGCGCCGCGCGCCCTTTTTCCCTCTCCCGGTCAATCGTTATCAATTTCGAGTTTGATATATACTCGACGTGCGTGTGTGTGACAAAAATGTCTCGCTCTTATAAATTTATAAGCACCGCGTTCGTATTATAGTTTTTCTTTTTTGGTTTTCACTCGTTCACTTTTATATTTACTAAATTCTGTGTGTTGCAAACTAGCTTTGGACTCTCTACACACAACGTTACCATTCCCTGGCTATACTAAACTTAATTACATAGACACGCGAGATTTTAGAGCGTACAGGAAGCATGCAAATTATACTTTTAGACAGCTATGCAACACGCGCGCGCGCTCGCGCGATAGCGTACGACGGGAGTTCTCCCCGTAAGGTTTCTTCTACTTTAAAAATTCTCCGCGCACGGTTCAGTGACCACGTAGTGTGTACGGGGAGATATAGAAGCTACTCTATACCCGATTCCCCAACGTCAACACTAGGGCTGCCATTTCACGAGGTTTAAAAATCCGGAGATCGTGGCGCACGGCGTTATAGAAATGGAGGGTGAGGAATTGAGGAGCGGTCGATTTTTCTTCCGAATTTTCCAGTCAAACATAAAAGGCAGAGACCGCGTCGTTATTTTTTTACAGGCAATATATTTCAAAAAGGAGATATTCTTCTCTCTCTCTCTCTCTCGATGCGCACATTACAGATGGTTAAAGAAATATTTACTCGTATGTACTTCCCGAAACGTGAAATGTTATACGCTTTGATAAATATTTCTTTGCAATATATGTTGGCCGCGTGATATGTGGCTCTCGCCGAATGTTTTCGCACGGAAGAATTAGCTCTAAGGTCGCTTCTGAACTTCATTCGCGCGAATATCATCCATTCATCACCATTATATTAAGCAGAGAGAACGCGGGAATACTCCCTCGCGCCGTCAGTTCCCACAAACATCAACACGACTCCATACATCACTACTTTAAAAACATCAAACCGTTCCGTTTCTCTTCGTCGAAGTACGAAGTACCTACCATCAATCGAAAGCTCGTCCGAGAATAACTTTTTTTATTCTCGTTTTTATTCGGCGTTTTTATTAAGAAATGCGGTACATCTCTCTGGGGGGGGGGGGAGAAAGAGAGAGAGAGAGAGATCAATTTATAAATCTAAGAAAACGATCAGCGCGAAGAAAACTCGACATTAAAACCAAAGTTTCTGAATTAGTTTCTCAGATTGCAGTTGATTTCGCGAGTTCTTTTTATTACCGCTCGCTCGATTGCATAAACATTGCCGAAGGGAAATCCGAGTTTAACGGATACGATATAACGATCTGACCATTTGTAACGAGGTCCCATCTCGAAGATCCATTTTCTCAGATCTCGGTCGGAATGCAACACTTTCCGAACCGTAGGCGGAAAGAGAAAAAAAAAGAGAGAGAGAGAGAGAGAGATAGATAGAGAATCCGGACGTGGCTCGATGGCCGCGACGCGGGGATCGATGACCGAATAAACAGACCGAGAACGCGCGCGGATCGATCCGTCTCATCCCCATATCGATATCGGACCGCTCCGCGTAGCGTATTCGTTGGATTACCCCCGGAGCTGAAAAGCCGGCCTGACGTAAACGAGGCGTGCGAGAGAACAGCGTCCGTTTCGAGCCGAGCCGAGCCGAGCCGAGCGGAGCGGAGCGGTGGAAAAGCGGGGCCGAAAGCCACCACCAGGGCGCATGTCGATGCCTCGAGCGGCAGCAGCCAATGGACTAGCTAAAATATTAAACGGGAGCAAAGACCCTAGTTCCCCGTATATGCCACGTATTCGCGACGGTGGTTCAATTTCTGAGCCAGTTCATCCTCCCCGCTGTGTGTGTTCGCGGGCGGGGAATGGAAGGGATGCGCGCAGCACCACACCAGTGAAAATAGACGTTCGCGAGCCAGACCTCGCCGCGACAGTCCGGATCGGCACCACTGGCGACATCCGTAAGCGCCGCGGCGAGAAAAGAAGATGGAACCGATCGGTTGGCGGTAAGTCGAATCTTGAGAGAATCGGGAATAGAAATGAGGGTATGTAAACGAAATATTTAATGGAAACCGAACCGTCTGATTTGAAAGTCATAGAGAGGTCTTTAGTACACAGTAATTCTCCTCAGTTTTTTGTCTTCGAAATTATTTCTCTCTCTCTCTCTTTTTCTGTGTGTAATAGTTCTATGTTTTTCCGAATCATTAGAGATTTAAATTTTAATTACATTGGAATATATATATATTTTTTACATTATTTATAATTTAATAATTTTTAAATGAATAAAAATGTAGAATGTTGATGAGCGAACTAGAATATTTTATTTTTCCGTTAGTATATATTTTTTCCTACTTCGTTTGTCTCGTAGGTGTTTTGGTCAGAACACAGATTTATTACTGCCTGATGATGTATCATATCTGACGAATGAGATAACGTCGCACAACAATACGATGTTAACAATCATGTGTGTGACACTAGCACGTGACATACGTCATGGTTAACATCGTCTTGAGACAACGGATGGTGGTATAGTTCAGTGGAGATTGCAATCATGCTAAATTGTCGTTTCTTATTTCCGAGTTGGATAATAGCGTTAAACTTTAACGGTCCTTGTCTCAAGACAATGGTGTGTTGTGCTCACAATGGCGCTTATTGTTGCGCACAACGCACATCCCATTTCCTCTATACATTCGAGCAACTTTTTGATCTCAATAGCTGTTTGGTTAATTTTACGTTCTCTCTCTCTTTCTATCTCTCTCTCTCTCTCTCACGAAATAATTTAAAACTGCAGAGAACAAAGGCCACATTAGAACAATCTATGAGATGTGACGTTTGACGTATTTTGCTAATTATTTTAATTCAAATTAAGGTCATTGCACGCTAAAACGTTTCGATCGCAGGCAATACTTTAGATTCGATTTAAAACACGAAATGCAGAGAAGCTTAACGTTGTCAATTATTCTGACACGCCGCAAGTGATACGGGATTTTGTCCATTTTCTGCATAACTTAAAGTTTTTTTTGCACAATCGAACAAAATATATATTCATATATCGTTGCACGATCGTGCGCGATGTGTGCGACATATTGAAAACGCGTCACGTCTTTCTGTACGTTCGACTTTAATTTCTTTCGCAATCTAGAAATGGAACTATCGGTATAGTTGTACCACCACGGCCAAAACATGGTAAAACTGCGTGAATGACGTTATGCTTTTTGCACACCGCGCGAGTATACTTGTCGTTCACGTGTGGTCAACCGCAAAAACGTTACCGCACTTTTTTTTCGGTGAATTTCGACACGCACAAGAGTTTAGCGCGCGCGCATACACGCGCTGCACGCCGACTATTTCGACGCAAAAGTTTTGTCGTAGAACCTGCGGCGCTTATACACGGCGCACAGTTCATTTAATAGGTCACGATTTATACCGTGGAGTGTGGTTTGCGTGTGACGGTGCGAAAATTACACGTGTTTGAACGAAGATACGGAATAACGTTAACGTCGATGACAAAACCCTCGTAGTTTCGTCGACGACAGTTTCTTCTTTTCTTTTTTTTTTCTGTCTCTGTTTTTCTGTTTCTCTCTCTTTCTCTCTGTTTCACTCGTCCGCAACGAGAACATTTTTTTCAACATTTCATCGAACGCGGTTGCAATTCATTACACCTCGTATATTAATTCATGTACGCGCGTGTACACACACGAGATGCGCGCGCCGCAGCGCTCTTTTCGCATATCGTCGCGTAACACACGACAACACAACAAAAACACACGCGAATGCGGACTTAATAAATTCAATTTAATTCCGAGACGTTTATCAAATCACAGCCATTATTTAATGCTACAATTAATGAGAATGTATGTAAATCTGTTACTTCGCTATATTTTGCGAGATTTATGCGGCCGTTTAAAACGTGACGCGCCGTCGTACAACGATTATTACATTTATACGGATCAATTAACGCGCAACGCTCCGACATTACCAGACAACAAAATCGCGTCGAATTTTAATGCTTGCTTTTTATTTTTGTTTTTGTTTTTCCGCGTGTGTTACACCGCCCCGCTCTCTTTTCCGTTTATTCGTATTCTTATTTGAACGTTTCCGCATTGATCGGTCGGTGGTACAATTTCGGCGATCTGCTGCGACGCCACTCGGATTGCTCCTGAAAAATAGTTTGTCAGCGCAGAATCGTAACGTAACATCCGACATAATTAATATATTATTATTAGCGACATAATCAGACGTAAATTATCATTAACAAATTTTCATGCCATTACAATATTCAATTAATTCAAGATATACGTATGTGCCATTATATAACTGTGTGTATAACTAAAACGAATTTATTGCCAAACGAGCTGATTCATAAACGACGACTCGTATATCTCTCAACGGAAAGATTCGTTACACGCACACACACACACGCACGCACGCACATATATACACACATATCGATTGAAAGAAACGAGGGCAAAAGCAGAAAGTTTTCTAAATTATCACAATTTAGAAAACTTTTGGCGATCCGCTGCCCGTGTGAATGGAATCCATTTTCGATTAAAATAGTCCAATAATTCTTTACTACGCTGTGAAGTTTGGAAACGTTTATAGTCCGTAATTTCTACAGCGATATCGCTTTTTGCCTCGTTTTGCGCCGTGCGCGCGTGCGCGCTCTCTACAATTTTCCTCGAGGACGTACTTCAAATAGAAACTTAACGCGAACACATCCAATATTAACTTCTTCTCGCGCCTCCCTTGCGAGAAATTGAAGCGCGCGCGATGTGTCGCGCTTAAATACCAACACGTCCGAAATATATACGTAGTCCGGAAATGGATTAGTCGAGAGAAAATAAAAATATCTCGTCCGGCGCGCGATATAAACCGCTCAAAGGTCCGAGCTAATAAGGGTCGCGCGCATGAATCTAATTTTACGTCTTGCCATTGAACGCGGTCAATCGGTATTTATTACGATGTCGGAGATCCAATTGTCCGACGCAACGACCGAAAGTCGTCAAGGGTATAATGAGCTTATATGTGACCTTTGGTAATTCATGGGGGTTATAGGTCGTCTCGTGCATATCGTGCATATATAAAAAAAAAATAGAGAGTGATAAAGAGAGAGAGAGAGAGAGAGAGAGAGTGAGAGAGAGAGAGAGAGAAAAGGAGAGAAGGAAAAGGAGGGAAGAGAAAGAGATAGGGAAAAAAGAGAAAGAGGGTATATATAGGATTTGCTTTTCGCTGCAACAGTATCCGGCGCGTATATACGCGGAAAATTGCGCTAATACGTTTTATTAAATCTCTCATTCTTCAACGGGTGATGAAATTTTAATTAAGAGCGAATTTTCGCGATCGACGCGCACGGTTTATATTCGTGACCTTTTTGTTATGAGTGCGCTCGCAGTTTCACGGCGTATAGTTCCATAGCGGCGGCGCGCGGACGGCCTGGGGGGGTATTAAATTATTTAGGGTCGATGATCGCGCGTAAATTCTGAATAGAGTTCTGTACACGCGAGTAGGCCACGGCTCGATGATTTTTATCCACGGTGCGTATATTGAATTAAAGCGCGACTGGCACAAAGGATATACACGCGCTCGCGTTCAAGTTGCGATATCGCCGCGGCTTTTTCACATTTCACGAGTAACGATCCGGCGCGGCAAATAATTTACCTCCGGCTTCAATAGCTTCTCGATGCACGACATCTTGCTGTTCATTATTTCCAGCTCGAGTTGCTCTTTGCATAACTAGCGAGGCAATAACAAGTTCTCCGGAAATCAGAAATATTTTAAGAAGTCCGCGCGCTAATAACCGCGAGCAGGAAATTGATTTATCGATACGTTACCGTTTTCTTTGTCTTCGTTTGGAACACGGTCATCCGCTGCAGCTGCACAAGATTCGACAGTTTTATCAGGACGCAATGAATTATCAATCGTATCTTTGACGGATCGGTAGTCAAGTTAAACTTACATGCTTGTGAATGCACTTGTACGGCGGCACGATGCTAACGACGCTCTCCATCCGCGGTAACTTCTATAAATTATTGATAGTCAGCGTGAGAGTGTGCGCACACTCTCTCTCTCTCTCTCTTTCACTCAAGCGGTTTCAATATCACACGAGCCAAACTTCATCCGGCTGTCTGCGCGCGCGTGTGTGTAATTGTCAACTTACCTTCTCCGCTCTCCGAAACAATTCGCGAAAAAGTGTGTCGTTGGACGTCACCGTATTTAAACTCTGAACGCCAGAATAAAAAAAAAGTCTTCGGTTATTCGGGGCAAATCAATAGCGATTAAATCAATCTCATTTGAATCGCGCATTTAGCTCTTTGTTGCCCTTCTCTACATTTCTGTATATTTTCCTGTGTGTGTTTGCGCCGCTCTTATTGCGAATAGTTTGAACTTTGCAAAGCAACATCTCTCTCTCTCTCTCTCTCTCTATATATATATATATATATATATTTCTTTCTTTCGCGCACGCTGTATAATCTGTTTTATCAGAAAATAAATCTCGCGGCTAAAGAAAACAGATTGAATCAATAAAAACTTTCTTCTCTTGCAAATTTGTTTGAAGTCCGAGATTGCAACTTCTCTCGAAATCTCGATAAGAATTAAAGGCGCGTGGCGTTTCGCATTTGCGCGGGAAAAATAGTTGAGATGTTCTTCGTCAAAATCGCCAAAGAATGGGAGAAGAAGGAGGAGAAGAAAGAGGAGGAGAAGACGCGGTATTTTTTTTAAGAGTCCGCGGGAATTATATTTGTTACAATGGCGCGCGCGAAAGAATCACATCGGTATTCAGACGATTACCTCGCAAAGTTGTTTACATTTTCTTTAAGCCGGCAAGAGAGTTTGGCACTGGCAAGATTTTCGGGACGATACGTGACTCGTTTTCTTTCGTATAACGATGTACGGGAAGTACGCACAAGTACACACATACAACACACACACACACACACACACACACACGCACACACACACACACACGCACATAAAACGCGGAGTGAGTATTACGTATTTAAATGCCCGAAACCACGTCGTTGACGAGGGACATGTATCGTTAATTCCGCGACTCTTCGCTTTACCGTCCCTTGATTAATTACAACGTCGAAATAATATTATTACGGTGGATTTAAAACAAACAATCAATTATAGAAACGTGTGCTCGCGTATTGTCAATGACGTTTTAATTATTGTACTGCGAGTCGGTACGGTATCATATGCAAATTAATTGCCGGAATAACAAGCTCACTTACATTTTCTCTATCGGGGACGACGTATTGTACTTACTCGGCTTTCCATGCTCGCGTGTTATGAATGAAATCAATTACACACATAAGATTCGCAAACGACTCTTTTGGTTAATTATCGCAATTTATTTGCTGTTAATTATACAATCGCGATTCAAATGACATCGAAGAGGGTGGAAATAAAAAAAAAAATGAAAAAGCTTTCCTTCTCTCTCTTCTCTTAGAGAGAAAGAGAGAGAGATCCAGAAGGAGAAGTATTACTTTCTACTCAATTCCGAACTCACCATGATCGAACAAACGGCCATAACCACCGCGAAGATGAACGTGGCGAATGTCACCGCACCGCAGTAAGCGTTCAAATTGAAGAGATGTTTGAGATGGTAATCGGCGATCAGGAATTTGTACATCTGTAACGGTTCGCAAGAAGAGAGAGAGAGTTCGTGAAAAATTGAGGCTCCGCGACGAACGGACGGATGAGATAACCTGATCGATTCGCATTTCTGACCAGCGAGTTTAAACCGTATCCGGACGCTCGATAGTACTTGTGCAGCAACCTCGTGTCGTCCATGATGGGACGGGGCGATAACCTGATAATTTGCCGAGATCGCGCGACACCACGTCGATATTTGGGGAGATAATCAGTGAAGGGAAAACGGCGAGAGAATTCACCGATTGAAACGAATATTTGACAGGCGGTCTTCCATTGGTGTGTGTGTGTGTGTACGTGTGCGCGCGATCGATCGACGACCAAGTGACGGTAAATAGGCAAATTGCTTTGACGTTGGTCAAACAATCGGACAGTTCGACACTCTTTCGTAAAGTACGGGTAATGGACATTTATCTTTGTCTATAATTGCGGTTCTTGCGTCTAACGCTTTTATCAACGACAACGGAGCTAACGATTGTAATTAAAGACCTGAAATTAATTATTGAGAATTTATGTCCAAAAGTACAATCTTTCTTTGTTCTAAATCGGAAAAATTGCGAAAATCTCGGACTTTTGAATTTTTTTTCTTTTTTATTTTTAATATAAACGTCTCTGTGTGTGTGTGTGTGAAAACAATGGAATTCTTTTTTCAAAGACGGATTAGTCTCTTTCACGGAGAGAAAAAAGTGTAATTAAAAAAATGTCAAACTTCCATATATTACGAGCCATCGTTCGCCATCAAGTATCAGTCAAAGATCCCCTCGACACGCTTCGGCATAATTAATTTTCGTACTCGACCACCCCTCTGCGCAATATCGCACCCCCTTCCCTATTTCCTTGCATTTCTCTCTGTTTCTTCAGTATTTACACGAGAGATCCGCCCCTCGCGTTTTCAAGTTGGAGCATAGTTCGTGTCAGCCGCGTTCGTTACGTGTCATTAGGATCCTCGTGAAAGGTTTGTTTAGTTTTGCGTGCACCTCCAATATTCTTCCCGCGCGCGTCGAAGTTTCCTGGCGTAATTTATAACCCCAAACGCGGCTTTTTCGGTTGCAACACGGAATGTGCTATTGAGTTATAAGAGCGCGATGTCGGACGGAAATACTTACTTACTTACTACTAACCCGTCGCTGAGCATCCTATCTGCTCTGATTACGTCAAGTTCTTTGAGAATTAAAAAACAAAATTGTTTATCTTGATTAAGAATTTCTTTTTTTTTATAAAAATCACTTTTTGTATACATGCAATATCTGATTTTTTGCAGTGTTGCAAAGAAAAATAATAAAACGTATTTTAAAATACTCGCAGAGTATACTTTAAAATAATCATATGTCTTTACATATTTACACGACATTCGAGTGGTTCTGATCTTATCAAGGTTAAAGATATATGTAGACTGAGAAAGACCTCATAAAATATAGATAACACGCGAACAAAATATCGCGAAGCACATCTGAAATGTTAATTACATCAGTTAAATATTAACAGCGTCTACTTCAAATCGACGTATGAAGATTACTTGTCACTAATACGTATAATTAAAATTTAGATATATGAAAAAATAAAACGTCAAACTGTCATAAGTTAATGCTTTTCAGTATTTTTCTAGTTGAATTTTGTATAGTCATTTATTCAACGTGCCACATACAGAGTCAAGTCAAGTAAAACTTGTAGATTTTCAAAAGCTTTTAACAAATCTATTAACTTCTGCAATTAAATATTATAACGGATTTATATATACATATACATATTAGATTACCATGTTTGATTGAAATATAATTCCGAGTAGTTTCTGAAATATAAATCGCGAATAATAAAGTTGTTATGATTGTTATTATTCATTAACAGCGGTCAAAATAACAAGTTATTTTAGAGACTTTCCATATTAATTTTTCATCGATTGTTCCAGATATGTCTGTTAATTATCTAATTATTAGCGACAAGAACTTTTGATTCTTTAATAACAAAATCTAATCGCGAACATTTTACGATCACAAGAAAACAGACATATTTTCGACCAGAAAAAATTCAATATTCCCTAAAACTAATATACAAGGTTTTTATTTCGTCCAATTTAATTACGCGAGAATTGTTTACTTTATTACGAGATAAGAAAAGAAGACGCGGAGAGAGATCGTACTTATATTGGCAAACACACGTATAAAAACCCTCGTATTCCCCTATATATATATCAAGATAATCGCGTTCGTAGACACGATCGCGTCGTGGGTCGCACGAAATTTTTCGCATATTCCTTCCCGCGCGAAGTGACTGCTGCGAATGTCAAGGAGGAGAAAGAGAGAACGAGAAGCACGTGAAAAAATATGTAATTAAAATCCAACGCCGTGGATGAGATGCATCTCGAGCACGAGCGAGTAAATCAGGGCGAGGAGACGAGAAAATTACCGGGATAGACGGAGGAAGAGATAGGATAGAGTGGCTGACGGGTTGGAGGAAGACGAGTGTGCGAAAAAGAATAAAAAAACCGAGAACCATGTTCAGGAAGGGAGAGAGACGGAGAAAAAAATGTGCGACCAGCGGTCGTGCGCTTGCCGAAAAAAGGCGAGCGCTGCCAGAGCGAACGATGACAAACTGAGAGCGAGAGAGAGAGAGAGAGAAAAAGAGAGAGAGAGAGAGAGAGAGAGAGAGGGAGAGAGAGGAAGAAGCTTACGTGAAGTTCATGCAGATGAAAGATCGAGTGGGTAGTACGAAGCATATTCTTCCTCCGGGTTTAAATTCGTCCGATATTATTATCCGACATTAAAAGAACGTGATCTCATGAAACCAAATTTTCGCGAGAGAAACTAAAAGAAAAAAAACGGTTTTTATTCGAAAATGGAAAGTTTTTCTTTTTTTTTTACTTCTTTGTGACGCTCGAAGCAAACGCTACGTATCGGAAATATGTGCGCACGACCGCGCACATATGTGTCAACCGTACATTTTATTAATAGCCGTGCACAAAAAAAGCGGTCGGTTCTAAAACGAGCGGACGAGGCATTGACACTTTTCGATTTAGAGACCGTTCGAATGCAAAAGCGCGAGAACCAAACGGTAAACGATACTTCACATTTGTATTAAGAGACACAAAACTGGTGCTTTATACTCGTTTTCTCTCACACACGAGGAGAAAAAGTTTTGCTTTTATACGACCGGCAAGAGAAATTTGCTGAGTCTACTGAAGTTTTTTGTTTCATCAATAAAACGTTTTCTTGGCAAAACAAAAGATCCAATAGGCTTGGCAAATTATTTTTGCTGTCCATATAGTAACTAATTTTCTTGCTGTTCTATCAAACTTTTTTTACTTTAACAATTGAAGACCACAGAAGAAGAACTTGATAAGTCAATTTTTTTCTTATTTTTTGTTTTTGATGTTACTTGATAATTAAAATGGAGTATTTGAATTATCCAAAGCGAGAAAGAGAAATTTTTGATAGATTTCGAAATATAAACATTTTTATAAAACGTGTAACACAGAAATACATATATCGAACTTTAAAATCGCTTTCCTCTAAAATTACGAAAATGTGACTTATCAAGTTCTTCCCCTATGGTCTTCAATTACAATATAAATCCCCGAAGAAAAAGTTCTTCATTTTATCTATACTCTATAATCACACACAAAAGTATATCCCCTTCACGACTTTCCGAGTTTTACATATATATCACCATAGAGTAGTTCAATTTCGTTTTCGAGCAACGACTGCTCCTTGTTCCGAAGACACGCGCGATCACTCGAGCTTAGCCCGCGGGCGATTCCACTTCGTTCTGAAGGATCCTGATTTTTCTCCCAAGCTTATAGACACGTTCGATCCCGCGGCTTACGACGTCCTCGCCCGAATTGTTCGATCGGCGATCGACGTAGTGCGGTTTCAAGGCCAACGATGGTCATTCCGATCCGAATTGGATCGAGTTGAAAAGAAAAAAACTGGATAATCTCGATTCCAGGGAGAGGCGCGTGATCTCGGATTCGTCGCGCAGAATTGATCAAGGATTATTCCGCTCAATCCCGTCGCGAAGGAGATTCACTATCGCGAGTTGAAGCGGAAAGCGAGAAGAAGACACGCAGCGGTGGATTTTTACAGAATCGAGTGCTCGGAACTCTTTGAGTCATTTATGTAAAATCGTAACTATATTTGTTTCTGTTTTACAAAAAAAAATTGCTCGCTAAAAATTGGGAAAAAAACTCGTTTTCTCTTTGTGAAAACTTGAAAATAAATTTTGTCTTATCTCGCGTCTCTTCGCTGTTCTTCGGAGAGGATAGGGAGTCGAACGAAAGACGGGTCCGTAAAATGTAATTTGTAAAATGTAAATGTCATCTCGAAGCACTAAATCCGCCACTGCGACAGAAGATGGGGACGCAGCTTATCTCAAGAAAATAATTTCTACAATTAGTTTTATATCGCTTAGTGGTGTGGCGAAAGGAGAATTAAAGCTACCATAAGAGTGAAGCTACAGAAGATGGCTTTTATAACGCGATTATCTTGTGTCTGTAGAAGAAAGAGAGAAAGGGAGGGAAGGAAAGAGGGAAGAAGATAGAGAGAAGGGCTTTAACTTCATTAAAGGAGAAGCTCAAAGGAACCTATTACACGCTCAGGAGCATTAGACAAACAGATCCCGGACAACAATTACTGGACGATCATTTTCCGTTCAAGGCAACGACGGGGATGGATTTCTAAAAGCGGCAAACGCGCGCCCAGATTTCAGTTTGCCAGTAAGCTTTTATACAATGTGTATATATATACATATATATAAATATATAATATATACACACACACACATACACATACAATAATATAAAATTAGATAACAGTAGAAATACAGTATATGTATATCGTATACAAGTGATTTTAGTCACGTGTTGTTTTTCCTCTTTTCTCTGTCACGTGACATTACTTTAGTCACGTGTCTTTAAAAACGTGACTTCAGTAAAATCACGCGAGAGAGAGAAGTGGAAAAACAACACGTGACTGTACTTTAATTACGTGTCTTTAAAAACGTGACTAAAGTACAGTCACGTGACTTTATAATATAATAATAACAACATTATCTTTTTTCTCTCTCGTTTAAACCTCGCCTATAATTAATTTCCACGTGACATTATTTCGCGTATATCAAATTGTGCCCAAAGTAAAATTTACAAAGTAAAATTATCTTATCCAAGGCTTTAGATACGTATACGTCTTCACGAACGAAATCGTACGATGTTTCGAAGTGTACTTCCATTTACGTTTACCGTTGCGCCAAGAGGCAACTTCGAGCCGACGT